GGTTTCAGTATTGCAACAATCCAACAATCAGTCTCACAATTTCATTCTACAAGAATATTCTAAGAGTTTTCATGTACTCCTACATTTGAATATCAAAAGCCAATTTTGTAGCATGTATGCTAAGAGAAATATTGAGATGTAGCTACCAAAATATGAATGAACATGAAAAAGTCTCATGGGAAAAATGGCATGAATCACATTTAATCTGAAGCTGCCCAAGGGAAAATTAACGAGAACTTGATGACTGTCATCAAAATCTCCGTTTCCATTTCGCATGTTATAAATTCATCAGTGTGGAAACGGTAACAAAACCGTCGGACAGCAGGAAGACACAGGAAGTGCGTCTGCCAATGGCTAGTCTCCATCATTTGTTTACGCGTGCAATAACTAAGAACCCGCGTGATCCTAACCCATGATGGGATGTCGGCTCACGAAATGTACAATGTCTCGACATGCAATATGATGTTACTCAGTGCCACTCAGAAACACCAGTGCGAGCAAACATTGATGACCACTAGGCAGGGAAACGCTCCATCCCATACAAGGTCTGTGGTCCCAGCAGTGCCGACTAAAGTGGCAATTTCCTGCCCAAGCTCCGTGTTGGTGCACAGCAAAGCTTGGATTGTTTTGTCTCATGCAAATCCTCAATAACAGATCTGTTTCTGTGGTCTGATCACTGATACAGGAGGACTGATCACAGTATCCTGATGTCAGAACATACCCTTATAAAACAGTAACGCTGGTTCACCCAGATAAGCTTCTTATCATGTTTATGCAGTGATAAGGATGTCTTTGAAAGTTTAATGAACCATTGGTTTAAATAAGTTAATTAATTCCCTGAAACTAAGTTACCCGGTATATGTTTTTCTCAGAGAATGATAACTTGTTTTTTTTCTGATATTAAGATGTTTTCTTTACTGTGCTTTTGCTGTTTTATGTATTGGAAACACTTATTTTATCTGAAAATTTAACAATGTCATGTTCAATGCGTTTCTGTTATTTTCTGCATTAGATACTCTGGTTCATTTACTGAACACTAAATTGTGCTTCCAACTGTGCCCACTGTAGCAACTGCACACATTTTTCTCTTCTCTACACAGTTTCAAGCTATCTATTTTGATAAATAGTGTTCACTCTGTCAAAAACAAAAGAGTTATCAAGTTTGACAGGGCTTAAATAATAACCAATAATTACCAGTAAAGGAATTGGCAGCATTGATAGAGTTTCCCAGTCTATGCATTATCAGGTTTGACAGAGCTTGCCAGTAAAGATATTGTCAGAATTGACAGTTTTTTTTAGTAAAATAGTTGTCATGTCTGAAAATGATCTCAAGTAAAACAATGTCAGGATAAACTTTGGTACTTGAAGTTCCCTCAGTAAAGGACTTTACTTGCAGTTCCCTCAGTAAAGGAGTTTACTTGAAGTTCCCTCAGTAAAGGAGCTTACATGTTGTTCCCTCAGAAAAGGAGTTTACTTGCAGTTCCCTCAGTAAAGGCGTTTACTTGCAGTTCCCTCAGTAAAGGAGTTTACTTGTAGTTCCCTCAGTAAAGGAGTTTACTTGTAGTTCCCTCAGTAAAGGAGTTTACTTGTAGTTCCCTCAGTAAAGGAGTTTACTTGTAGTTCCCTCAGTAAAGGAGTTTACTTGTAGTTCCCTCAGTAAAGGAGTTTACTTGTAGTTCCCTCAGTAAAGGAGTTTACTTGTAGTTCCCTCAGTAAAGGAGTTTACTTGTAGTTCCCTCAGTAAAGGAGTTTACTTGTAGTTCCCTCAGTAAAGGAGTTTACTTGTAGTTCCCTCAGTAAAGGAGTTTACTTGTAGTTCCCTCAGTAAAGGAGTTTACTTGTAGTTCCCTCAGTAAAGGAGTTTACTTGTAGTTCCCTCAGTAAAGGAGTTTACTTGTAGTTCCCTCAGTAAAGGAGTTTACTTGTAGTTCCCTCAGTAAAGGAGTTTACTTGTAGTTCCCTCAGTAAAGGAGTTTACTTGTAGTTCCCTCAGTAAAGGAGTTTACTTGTAGTTCCCTCAGTAAAGGAGTTTACTTGTAGTTCCCTCAGTAAAGGAGTTTACTTGTAGTTCCCTCAGTAAAGGAGTTTACTTGTAGTTCCCTCAGTAAAGGAGTTTACTTGTAGTTCCCTCAGTAAAGGAGTTTACTTGTAGTTCCCTCAGTAAAGGAGTTTACTTGTAGTTCCCTCAGTAAAGGAGTTTACTTGTAGTTCCCTCAGTAAAGGAGTTTACTTGTAGTTCCCTCAGTAAAGGAGTTTACTTGTAGTTCCCTCAGTAAAGGAGTTTACTTGTAGTTCCCTCAGTAAAGGAGTTTACTTGTAGTTCCCTCAGTAAAGGAGTTTACTTGTAGTTCCCTCAGTAAAGGAGTTTACTTGTAGTTCCCTCAGTAAAGGAGTTTACTTGTAGTTCCCTCAGTAAAGGAGTTTACTTGTAGTTCCCTCAGTAAAGGAGTTTACTTGTAGTTCCCTCAGTAAAGGAGTTTACTTGTAGTTCCCTCAGTAAAGGAGTTTACTTGTAGTTCCCTCAGTAAAGGAGTTTACTTGTAGTTCCCTCAGTAAAGGAGTTTACTTGTAGTTCCCTCAGTAAAGGAGTTTACTTGTAGTTCCCTCAGTAAAGGAGTTTACTTGTAGTTCCCTCAGTAAAGGAGTTTACTTGTAGTTCCCTCAGTAAAGGAGTTTACTTGCAGTTCCCTCAGTAAAGGAGTTTACTTGTAGTTCCCTCAGTAAAGGAGTTTACTTGTAGTTCCCTCAGTAAAGGAGTTTACTTGTAGTTCCCTCAGTAAAGGAGTTTACTTGTAGTTCCCTCAGTAAAGGAGTTTACTTGTAGTTCCCTCAGTAAAGGAGTTTACTTGTAGTTCCCTCAGTAAAGGAGTTTACTTGTAGTTCCCTCAGTAAAGGAGTTTACTTGTAGTTCCCTCAGTAAAGGAGTTTACTTGTAGTTCCCTCAGTAAAGGAGTTTACTTGTAGTTCCCTCAGTAAAGGAGTTTACTTGTAGTTCCCTCAGTAAAGGAGTTTACTTGTAGTTCCCTCAGTAAAGGAGTTTACTTGTAGTTCCCTCAGTAAAGGAGTTTACTTGTAGTTCCCTCAGTAAAGGAGTTTACTTGTAGTTCCCTCAGTAAAGGAGTTTACTTGTAGTTCCCTCAGTAAAGGAGTTTACTTGTAGTTCCCTCAGTAAAGGAGTTTACTTGTAGTTCCCTCAGTAAAGGAGTTTACTTGTAGTTCCCTCAGTAAAGGAGTTTACTTGTAGTTCCCTCAGTAAAGGAGTTTACTTGTAGTTCCCTCAGTAAAGGAGTTTACTTGTAGTTCCCTCAGTAAAGGAGTTTACTTGTAGTTCCCTCAGTAAAGGAGTTTACTTGTAGTTCCCTCAGTAAAGGAGTTTACTTGCAGTTCCCTCAGTAAAGGGGTTTACTTGCAGTTCCCTAAGTAAAGAAGTTTACTTGCAGTTCCCTCAGTAAAGGAGTTTACTTGTAGTTCCCTCAGTAAAGGAGTTTACTTGTAGTTCCCTCAGTAAAGGAGTTTACTTGTAGTTCCCTCAGTAAAGGAGTTTACATGTTGTTCCCTCAGTAAAGGAGTTTACTTGCAGTTCCCTCAGTAAAGAAGTTTACTTGCAGTTCCCTCAGTAAAGGAGTTTACTTGAAGTTCCCTCAGTAAAGGAGTTTACTTGTAGTTCCCTCAGTAAAGGAGTTTACTTGCAGTTCCCTCAGTTAAGGAGTTTACTTGAAGTTCCCTCAGTAAAGAAGTTTACCTGTAGTTCCCTCAGTAAACAAGTTTACATGCAGTTCCCTCAGGAATGGAGTTTACTTGTAGTTCCTTCAGTAAAGAAGTTTACTTGGCGTTCCCTCAGTAAAGGAGTTTACTTGCTGATTTAAAGCTAATGATAGTTCAAAAGTAACATGTAAAGTTCATGATACCTGTGACTTTTTTTGTTGGTAAAAGGTAGGAATTTTCAGTGTCAGTGTGAAATGATTCATAGGTTCTTAATCAGGGAAATTAATTTCTATAAAATGGCAAAGTATTTGTAAAACTGTTTATACAATAATCACACTGGTATGAGAACAAATAAATCAATTTGTGGGATAAATTTCTGCATTTAACTCACCAGAATTAGAGGGTGTTCATCATCAGTAATAATACACACAATATATTTTCAGAATAAAATGAGGAAAAAAATCTACAGATACATTGAAGACAATATATTCTCCCACACTTCACAGGTACATTCCCATTTTTGGTAGGGAAAAAATAAACCTGTCTTGATCTACCTCGATCAAGACAGCTGGCACGTGCTATAACGTCACAGACGACGCACTTCTTTCAACATGACCTGTGCATTGGGGTCAAAAATACAACTTCGCAGTGGAGGAGTTTTTACGTTATGGAAATGTGGGAGAAAATCAATCACTCCTGTGTGATGTAGACAGAGATTTCTCTTACCCTGGACAGGGATATCCACCATTTTACCGGTGTGAGATTTTCTTATCTCACCCTAGGGTTGAGACAAGCTACACGTGTTCTTTGCACGTTCTCAACAATTGTATGACGTCATAGCAACAATACCATGACATCACGCAACAATACAATGACGTCTTGTCGACAATTCAACCGCATCACATCAACATTGTCTTGCTTTGATGTAACATCTATATAAAAGACATAAGAGGGTAAACAGGGTAAGAGAAAAATAATCATTCACCCCCTTGGGAGTGATACAGGGTGATCTCAACCCTCGGGGTAAGATTCTTAAGCTGTCAAACACTCGGCAAGCCTGGTGTTTGACAACTTAAGAATCTTACCCCGAGGGTTGAGATTACCCTATCTCACCCCCAAGGGGGTGAAAGATTTTATTAATCTCAACCCTCGGGATGAGATATTTTTAGATTTAGCACTTGGCAAAGCCTCGTGCTAAACCTAAAAAAATATCTCACCCTCTGGTTGAGATATCTCTGTCTACATCACACAAGAGTGATAGATTCTATTAAAGATACAATAAAGACAATATTTACCAGGTAGGGATCCAGAGGGGAGGGACCCAGGAGTTCCTCTGCTGTCATCCAATGAGGAGGCTCCACCTGGATAAGTAATGCCAGTATGAAGAATTATATAATGTAGATGATATCACATAGAACTAGAAGTAATGGGCTGACATTTTTTCTGTATCCATTATTGTTTTATATTATAATACCACATAGACAAATCTATTTCATTATTTTTTTTAATCTGTATTTTCTTTTTCTTTTTTTTTGTGAGAGTGATTTTTTACCATTTTTTTTCAATTCACAGCAAAACCTTTTTCATTGAGCAGGAGATTTTTTTCCCTGAAGATGTTCCAAAGTTTTTATTGGTTCAAACCGACGCTGAACTTTGGGGTAGATAATAATGTTGCTATAGGTCATTCCGTCAGGTTCTGTGGAACCCGTTGAATAGAATACATCAAATTGAAGTAAACTTAAAGAAAAGGAATGGAAAAAAGTTGTCAGAATAGAAATCGTTGGAACCAATCATATCACCATGGGGCGGTTCATAATACCATAATGGTAATATGAATCGCAGTTAATTTCACCATGGCCTTCATATTACCATACTACACCGGTATTTGCAAAAATTATCAAAGTTTATAAAATCTTTATCGATCTCTACCAAATACGGAAGGTATTTGATAAAAGCAAGACCACACACTTGTGTTTTTCTAACGAATCAGAAAGCACTCATTTATTGCGCGGACGTATATATTCACTCAGTGCGCGAACTCATGCTTTCTGATTTGTTGGAAAAACACAAGTGTGTGGTCTTGCATATTTAGTCACCATTAGATACATGACATCATCAACAGTTGCGTAGTAAACAATATAAGTGTCTATGAGAGTATTTATATAAGTTTTCTTACCGTTGTCGGTTTGTCTTTCTTTCCAGCAGAGTTGTTGACATCCTGTAGAACATAAGATTGCTTGTTTAAATAAGTACCACTAGTACTACTCTTAGTCCATAATCAATAACTTATCATGCCCACTGCCTCAAGAAGACCTCAAACAACTTCTCTAACCATTCAGCTGTACATAACGATCCTACATTTCAGTAATTACATAACAATCCTACATTTCAGTAATAAAATAACGATCCTACATTTCAGTAATTACATAACGATCCTACATTTCAGTAATTACATAACAATCCTACATTTCAGTAATTACATAACGATCCTACATTTCAGTAATTACATAACGGTCATAAACTTCAGTCAGTACATCAAGATCAATTGTAAGAATTTGAGATTCTTTTTACCATATGAAACAAGAGGCCCAGAGGGCCTGTATCGCTCCCCTGGAAATGTTAGCAAAATTGAAGTTGAATTAGCCAGATGTTGCTGTACATGTATTACATGGTAAGTCAGGGGTTATATTTATATGCAATTGGACAAAATCCTGTCATTCCTACAGGAAAAGAAGGAAGAAGGATTTTAAAGGTTTTACCTCTATTTCCCCTATTTGGTCCCACCCCTCTGCCCCTAGGGGGGCCACAACCACCGTTTATACAATATTGAGTCCCCTTGGGCCAAGGCTGCCCCAGACTAAATAAGGATAAAATCCCTTAATGCCTACAGTAGAAGAAGGATTTTAAGGTTTAACCTCTATTTCCCCTATTTGGTCCCGCCCCTCTGCCCCCAGGGGGGGCACACCTTATATTTACAGAGACATGGGCATCTAATACTTACAGTGACAAGGTCTTTTATCTCATACTGACAGTGACAAGGTCTGTCATCTTATACTTATAGTGACAATGTCTATCATCTCATACTGACAGTGACAAGGTCTTTTATCTTATACTTACAGTGACAAGGTCTGTCATCTGATACTTACAGTGACAAGGTCTGTCGTCTTATACTTAGTGACAAGGTCTGTCATCTGATACTAACAGTGACAAGGTCTGTCATTATTACTTACAGTGACAAGGTCTGTCATCTAATACTTACAGTGACAAGGTCTGTCATCTGATGCTTACAGTGACAAGGTATGTCACCTTACATTTTCAGTGACAAGGTCTGTTATCTGTTACTTACAGTGACAAGGTCTGTCATCTGATACTTACAGTGACAAGGTCTGTCATCTGATACTGACAGTGACAAGTCTGTTATCTGATACTAACAGTGACAAGGTCTGTCATCTGATACTTACAGTGACAATGTCTGTCATCTTATACTTACAGCGACAAGGTCTTTTATCTCATAATTACAGTGACAAGGTCTGTCATCTGATACTGACAGTGACAAATTAGGTCTGTTATCTGAAACTGATAGTGACAAGGTCTGTCATCTGATACTAACAGTGACAAGGTCTGTCATTTCATACTGACAGTGACAAGGTCTGTCATCTTATACTTATCTGTCATCTCATACTGACAGTGACAAGGTCTGTCATATGATACTTACAGTGACAAGGTCTGTCATCTGATACTTACAGTGACAAGGTCTGCCATCTAATACCTACAGTGACAAGGTCTGTGATCTTATACTTATAGTGACAAGGTCTGTGATCTTATACTTATAGTGACAATGTCTATCATCTCATACTGACAGTGACAAGGTCTTTTATCTCATACTTACAGTGACAAGGTCTGTCATCTGATACTTACAGTGACAAATTAGGTCAGTTATCTGATACTTACAGTGACAAGGTCTGTCATCTGATACTAACAGTGACAAGGTCTGTCATTTCATACTGACAGTGACAAGGTCTGTCATCTTATACTTATCTGTCATCTCATACTGACAGTGACAAGGTCTGTCATATTATACTGACAGTGACAAGGTCTGCCATCTAATACTTACAGTGACAAGGTCTGTCATTTCATACTGACAGTGACAAGGTCTGTCATCTTATACTTATCTGTCATCTCATACTGACAGTGACAAGGTCTGTCATATTATACTGACAGTGACAAGGTCTGCCATCTAATACTTACAGTGACAAGGTCTGTCATCTTATACTGACAGTGACAAGGTCTGTCATCTTATACTTATCTGTCATCTCATACTGACAGTGACAAGGTCTGTCATATTATACTTACAGTGACAAGGTCTGTCATATTATATTGACAGTGACAAGGTCTGTCATCTTATACTTATCTGTCATCTGATACTTACAGTGACAAGGTCTTCCATCTGATACTGACAGTGACAAGGTCTGTCATCTGATACTTAGAGTGACAAGGTATGTCATCTACTACTTACAGCGACAAGGTCTGTCATTTGATACTTACAGTGACAAGGTCTGTCATCTGATACTTACAGTGACAAGGTCTGTCATCTGATACTTACAGTGACAAGGTCTGTCATCTTATACTTACAGTGACAAGGTCTGTCATCTGATACTTACAGTGACAAGGTCTGTCATCTGATACTTACAGTGACAAGGTCTGTCATCTGATACTTACAGTGACAAGGTCTGTCATCTGATACTTACAGTGACAAGGTCTGTCATCTGATACTTACAGTGACAAGGTCTGTCATCTGATACTTACAGTGACAAGGTCTGTCATCTGATACTTACAGTGACAAGGTCTGTCATCTTATACTTACAGTGACAACAGTGACAAGGTCTGTCATCTGATACTTACAGTGACAAGGTCTGCCATCTAATACTTACAGTGACAAGGTCTGCCATCTCATACCTACAGTGACAAGGTCTGTCATCTCATACTTACTGTGACAATGTCTATCATCTGAAACTTACAGTGACAAGGTCTGTCGTCTTATACTTAGTGACAAGGTCTGTCAGCTGATACTTACAGTGAGAAGGTCTGTCATTATTACTTACAGTGACAAGGTCTGTCATCTGATACTTACAGTGACAAGGTCTGTCATCTGATACCTACAGTGACAAGGTCTGTTATCTGATTCTAACAGTGACAAGGTCTGTCATCTGATACTTACAGTGACAGGTCTGTCATCTGATACTCACAGTGACAAGGTCTGTCTTCTTATACTTACAGTGACAAGGTCTGTCATCTGATACTTACAGTGACAAGGTATGTCATCTTATACTTACAGTGACAAGGTCTGTATTGTAATACTTACAGTGACAAGGTATGTCATCTTATACTTACAGTGACAAGGTATGTATTGTAATACTTACAGTGACAAGGTATGCCATCTTATACTTACAGTGACAAGGTATGTCATCTTATACTTACAGTGACAAGGTATGTATTGTAATACTTACAGTGACAAGGTCTGTATTGTAATACTTACAGTGACAAGGTATGCCATCTTATACTTACAGAGACAAGGTCTGTATTGTAATACTTACAGAGACAAGGTCTGTCAT